TCTGTGGACAGATGAAACCAAAGTTGAGTTGTTTGGAAGGAACACACAACGCTATGTGTGGAGAAAAAAAGGCACAGCACACCAACATCAAAACCTCATCCCAACTGTGAAGTATGGTGGAGGGAGCATCATGGTTTGGGGCTGCCTTTTGCTGCCTCAGGGCCTGGACAGATGCCATCATCGAGGGAAAAATGAATTCTCAAGTTTATACAAGAGCATTTTGCTGGAGAACTTAAAGGCCATCCTGTCCACCAATTGAAGCTCAACAGAAGTGGGTGAGCCAACAGGACAACGACCCAAAGCACAGAAAGTAAATCAAAACAGAATGGCTTCAAACAGAAGAGAATAAAAAAACCGCTTCTGGAGTGGCCCAGTCAGAGTCCTGACCTCAACCCATTGAGAGATGATGTGGCATGACTCAAGAGAGCGATTCACACCAGGACATCCCAAGAATATTGCTGGAACTGAAACAGTTTGTAAAAGAGGAATGGTCCAAAATTCCTCTGACGGGCGTTGTGGCCAGGTCCGTGATATGGGCAACTATAGGAAACGTTTGGTTGAGGTTATTGGCTGCCAAAGGAGGGGTCAACGGGCCGAAAAATAAAAAAAAAAAAAGTTATTATAATCGCAAGGGTTGCACATACTTTTTCGCACCCCTGCACTGTGAAATGTTTACATGGTGTGTTCAATAAAAACATATAAATGGTTTGTGTGGTCTTAGCTTAAGGCAGACTGTCGTTTGTTCTATTGTTGTGACTTAGATGAAAGATCAGAACACCATTTTATGACCCAATTTATGCAGAAACTCCAGGTAGTTCCAAAAGGGGTCACATACCTTTTTCTTGCAAACTGTATATATGTATATATATATAAATAATGCATATTCCATGTATATTTTATAGAAAAGAGTTTTTGAGATCACATAAGCGTTTTGTATTCATTCATTATTTTCATTTTTTTGGGTTATCCGTGCTTGTTGTGTGTACTTTAGCACTCTCCTTTAACGCTTTAATGAAGCCTGTGATCAATTAACATCTGATCTGGTTTACAGTTTATACCAAATCTAAAATTTAACAGTTTTAAAATAGAAAGTGGTCATTTGAGGATAGGCAACATCATGCTGATAAGCAGAAAAAGGGTTGAAAAAACAACACATTTTTTAAGGCGAAAAAACAGCAGCACGCAGTAAACAGAGTTGGAAAGTGAGTATTGGGGATCCTTGGCGGATAATGAGGAAGAGGGCTGTGTTGGAAATGAGAAATGCAAAAATAATGGGATTTTTTTCAAAAAAGAGTATATAATTTGAA